CAACAAAACAACAACAAAAACCAAAACAAAACAAAACAATGCAATCTTTAGCATGAATGCAGTCTCTGGGAATCTAACTTGCTAACTGCAGATTCTGGTGTAGTAAGTTCTTTTTATTTATTTATTTTTATTTTATTCATATGTGCATACAATGTTTGGGTCATTTCTTATAAGCCTGCATTTCTATGAGCTCCTGGGTGATGTCAATACTGCTATCCCAGACCATTGTTTAACAAGTAGAACAGGCACTCAGCTGGTGGTTGGGCCCTCTTGTTGGTCTCTGTTCTTGCCTGCCCATGGACTTGAAAAGCCAAAATAAGCACTTGCCATAAAAGAAAAACACAAAATAATATTACTCATTCAGTCCTGCACGATAGCCTAGCTTATCTTGCTCCTAGGGACAGTGTTTTCAGCTAATGGACAGGCACAGTGTAGGCTGACTTGGCTTCAGAAGAAAGGCAGACATGGTATCCATTAAATGCATTTTCTTCCATGAAAATTTTCATATAAGGAAGAAAGGAAAAAGTCCAGTCAGTGACCAGGTTGTCATAAAATCCCTGAAGACTGACCTAGAAGCAGAGCTAAGATCAGAAACCAGCACAAAGCCCCCTGTGCGATGTGCATTTGGCTCACCCATCAAACTTTATTCCTTCCTTCTTCCCTCACTTGCAGCTTTCTTCCCTGTGCACTATGGCTGCATACCCAAATCAACAATTAAATTCCCCCTTTGTTTGTGTGGCAGATGACAAATGCATGGAGGACATCTTGTGTTGCCTAGGCAGGCAGGGCACTTACTTTGATTGATGCTTGGTTGTGGAAAAAAAAAATGAGCTGGGAAGGAATTACAATGGAGGGCCCACAGACTGGAAGGGGATATACTAATTAGTCCTGCATTAAGCAGTCTGCTTGCATTTGGCTATGAGACGCCTTCAGGAGGGAGGTATAGGGGTTATTGATGCAAAACAGCATGGAATGTATTATGCCAGGTAGCTGTGTATTCATGTTGTTAAGAAATATATTAAGAAATAAATACTTTGGCTACTGTATTTTTTAAAAACACCACTCCCGAGTATATTGGTTGGCTGTGATTTTTACCATTTTACCTGGAAGTCCTCCTTTCTCTCTAAAGTAACTCCTCCAGAGTTTTCTCATCCTGGGTAAGGCCCCCTAAGGAGGGAAAACTGCCACAGCATCTACACACTGTGTCTCCTTTTCTCTGAAATCCCACAGCTGCAGAACTGTGAGCTTTGCTGGTGGAGACACTGTGACAAGGACAGAGGAAGTTCCCCCAGGCCACTCTTAAAGGTTTTAGAGAGTTGTACTGATTTGACCCAGGAGGAACCCTAAGGATGTGTCAAGACAAATTCGGCTCTGATTATAGACAAAGGCCTAGAGTAAGTGGGAATACAGAGAAATGCAACGCATACATCTGTGTTTGGTTTAGCATTCTATTTTTGAGTTCTAGGCAGAGATAAAGGTGTAGATGGTTGTGCTGAAACCTGTCTCATAATTCAAGGGTGACACAGATGCTCTGGGTAACTGGAGATTGTTACTCTAGGGGACATGACTGGTCATGTCCAGGTCACTGTTTACCTGGGCAGAGGAAGACAAGGATGACAGAGAGAGAGAGAGAGAGACAGAGAGAGGTGCCCAAATAATTACTAACTTGAGTGGTTTAAAATTCAGAACTTGAAATGCTTGATTTGATCAATTTGATCTGAAGAACCAATGAAATTGGGTTTAAAGAAATCCCAGAGCTTTTTTTGTCACAGTGGGAAAGAAGGGGCCCCTGAAATTCCCTTGGTTTTAGAATCCCAGTATAAGGTCACTCACCCACCATATTGGTGTCAACAATGTGACTCTTTATGTTGAAATCCAGTGAACTGCCAGCCATGTCAAGTTAGCCCTATGGGAGAGTAGATGGTCCCATGTTCGTGGTTTGGTTTATCAGAGTTGTCAAATCTTATGCAGCTTCCATGAGTTTCCTTTATTTTTCTTATTCTAGAGATTTACAGATGGATTTATAGATGCTTAAGCTGGGAAAATGATATCCATGATAAAGACAGTATTTTGAGTTATCAAAGATTAGTGAGTCTTTTTTTCTTGAAGTTTTACCCATAACACAGAGCCTAAGACAGATATCAAAATATCTAAGTATGATCAGATGTCTAAAACCTGTCTTTCAGAGACAGAACCAGGAATTGTGCCAATAGCTCTGGGAAGAAAAGCTAAATAGTTAATGTGGTTTATTTTTTAACCAGCCCTTTGTTTTAGAATTCTATCTTATTCTTGAACTGATCCTATGTCACCATGACCTTCTCCTGCCAAGACAGCACAGTTGAGGCATCCTTCAGTGATAGCCTAGGGCTTTGGACAGGCAAGATGCCGTGCTGGCTTTTTGCCTTTTCTTCCAGTGTTTACACAACCAAGACTTATTACATGCTCTGTCATTTTGTTACTGGGCTAGCTCTGGTTTGAGAATTAGGTAAACATCAGACATTCCATCACACAATTTTAGACCCAATCTTACTTTATAATGATGCTAATGTTTATTGTACAAAGCAAGATGCATTTGTATATTTTAGCATTTTATTTGAGTCACAGAATGCAAAACCTGACATTGGAATCAGTTTTATTTTGTGTGTGTGTGTGTGTGTGTGTGTGTGTGTGTGTGTGTGTGTGTGATTGAAGATGTTAAGCACTACAAGAACACTGAAATTTCAATCTGATTAGGATCAAAATTCTTCAGGATCAAAACACTCCTTTTCCTCCCCCTACAGTTTTACTAATTGTGTGCTACTTGACATTGTGGAGTTATTTCACAGCATGATAGCTAAATATGTGAAGTGTATTTTACTGTGCAGAATTATCAGCTCATTCTATTTGTTTTTCATGTGTTTAAGGTTATTAAAAGAACTCAAAATGAGAAGTCATGTGTATGAGGTAAAAGTGAACTCAATCATTGTTAGTAGGCTAAATCATAAAGCAATAGCCAGTATGTCAATATCAAGTAATGAAAAAAATCATAGATTTTGAAAGCATACTGTCTCTGTTTATTACTTGGCAAGTTACCAGAAAAATTAGGAGAACTGCACAATTGTGAATGGCAGAGTAGTTTATTTTCAGCACTCTCAAATTATTCTGGCTACTGAAAACGAGACAATAGTGGATGGGAAAGAATGAAACAAACGTATTTGTTGGAGACCTGTGCTTTGTGGTAAGAAATGAACTGTCCTTGCTCACTGTTCCTGAGGAACTGTGTTTGTTCAAGCTGTAAATCAATTCCTAGAGAGATAGCATGACGTTTTCCAAATAACAACTGTGGGTGACAAGGTTCTTCTTGGTCAGCATTAGGTTTCTGAATGTAGACCTTAATTAAGACTCCAAAATGAGAAAACATCCCTGCCCCCCACCCACACATAGTCTATGAGGGTGTCCAGAAAAGAATATATTCATTTCAAAGTCTAGATCTTTCTCCTGTATTGCTCCAAAAAATATATCTATGGCTGCCTTTAAAATCCTGAGTTTTCTCCATTTTCTCTAAATTCTCAGCAACAAAGAACCTGATGTTTCTTTTCAGGAAACAGCATCATTTTTCCCCCAATTAATTGAAGAGCCATCTGCTTCTGTGATACACGACACCCATTCATTCTTAGCAACAAGTGTGTTCCTGAAATCCCTGGTGTGTAATATCAAGGCACGTGCTCAGTGCTGGGAGTAGAATGTCAGGGAGAGCAGCCTTGCAGGCAGGCTCTGCCCAGAGACCCACTCTATACAGAATTTGACATTGAATTTTGTCCCATGTCAGTGTTGCTAATGCAGAGTTAAAAACACAATACAAGATGCTCAAACTTTGAGACTTTGGCTAGCTTAATCTCTGCTATGCTTTTGAAGATGTGAGTTTAAAGTGAGCAAATGTTTGCAAAGGACAGGAAAGATCTGAAATCGCTCTCCTCACCCATGACAAGAAGGGGCAGAGGGACACATACAAAGACTCCTGCTGGTGTTTACTGCAGAAAACCTTCAACTTTGAACTATACCATTTCATTTGTGGCACCTTGCACGTATTTAAAAATCAGACTTCAGGACCTTCTAGGAATGTAGCTGGTAGAGCTCTGGTCTTTCGGGAACAGTCTGTTGCATGGTCATAAAAAAGGTGTTCCAGGCAGAAGAGGGTCCTTCCTGAGTGGTCCACCAGATCAGTGCTCTTGTCAGACCCCTTCCATTCATAGTATAAACATCCCAGGGGACTTTGAGAAAAAACTGCCTGGTGATGCTGATTGTGAATGGACACAATGCTGATGTATGGACCCAATGATGCTAGTCCTGCTTGCTTATATGCCACCAAAGGTCCCTTGGAGTTCAGCCCAAGGGTGAGGAGCTGGGAGCAAAGCTCAAAAAGCAGAGTTTTTTTTGTTTTTTGTTTTTTTTCAGGAGTCAAGGGCTGAAGGTAACTATTCCTCGGAATAACCCTTTTTCCCAGAAATACATAGAAAAGACACTGCTGCTGAGAGCTGCTATGTCCAGGTTGTCCCTGCCCCTGGGCTTTCCCTCTCACCTGTTTTGTGGCTAGTAAAGTCAGCATTTTTATGAGGCTCTAGCCTATTTGAACTTGTCTTCTCCCATGTATAGTTTGAAACTGCAACCACAAATTTCAAAGTGGAAGTTGCTCTCTAGAAAATGAAAGGGTCAAGGAAGCACTTAAGAGAGAGGTCCCTCAACCACTTCACAGGAGAGAAAGCATGAGAGACCGTGAAATGCTGGATGAACACCTAAAGATCCAGCAATTTTTCTGGGCCTGAGGTCCAACTTTCAATCTAATGCCAACACCAGTTGAAATGATTTATGTCTCACTTTTTCTCACTGCACGCTGACAGTCATCTCAAATGTATACAGGAGGAATGAAGGGACAATTCAGCACAGAACCAAACAAGCATCAGAGAGAGAGAGAGAGAGACAGATGGTACCAGCCCAGGTTACAAACCCACACAGGTACTTACAGTCCAGGTGACTATGCCTGATGCCTTCCACGTCTTCGGCATGGATGAAGTGATAGCATCTTTTCCCTACGATGTCTACAGGAGTCAGATCCATGTAATCACTAATCCTACGAAGGGAGGAACACAAAGCGTGGGACTTAGAAAGGAGCAAAATAGAGACACTGCCAAATGACTCATGAAAATGATTTATGGACACATTTTCATCATGCCAGGTGCTTGTGAGGGTGTGGCACTTTAAGGGAACACCCTCCTTAAAGAAGAATTTTTCAAAATTAGGGATTGTGCTAGATCAAGTAATTTCTGCTTAAATAATTAGATAGGTTCTTCTTTTCTTCTTTTTTTTTTTGGCATTAGAAGGCACATTTTAGACAGAATAATTCCATAAAATTGTTGAGAAGCAGTAACAATGCAAGATCCTCATTACAGGCCAAGATAATTCAAGGTTACATAATAAAATAAAAACATGTTATGTTTATACCAAATGATTAGAGACACCTTTCATTTAAACAGATTGGTCTTCTATTGGATATTTCCATGAAAAAGGGCTTCAACTGCTTCTTGGCACAGAGTCCAAATTGGCATTTCAAGGGATATAATTTAAATGCTGAGACCTACAGATGCCTGGGGGTATTATCTTTTTTAGTCTTAGTCATTTGGGAGCTCCGCTTTCACTCCTGGCTCTTTTAACTGGTACTTTGTGGTAGATTCCACATAGAAACTTTTAAACCATTTCAGCAGCTCTTCCAGGCTTCACAGTGTGTGTGTGTAAGCCCCTGTCACTGATTGTCCAGACGTCAATATCCTCGGGCAGAGCACAGAAAAATAGAACCCAAATTGGAAAACATGTTGGGGGAATCTGCCTGCTGTCCACAAACATGTTGAAATGCTTATTACTTCTGTATCACCAAGTACAGATTCATTTTGGTTGAGTTCAAAATAGAATATATGCATATCTTGTCTTCTTTAAATTTATGCTCTTTACTGTCCCCATTTTTTTTTTTTAAGATTTATGACATGTGGCCTATTCAAATATGAAGTAAATCTTTAAAAATGACACCTTTAAGAAACACATGAGATTATTGTTGGGGAGTTAATCTGGCAACTATGGCAGGGAAGTAGGAAAAAAACCAACCAAAATACTATGGAATAGAATTAAAATATACTATTCAGTGAGTGGATTTTCAATGTCAAGTAATTTAAAAAACACCTTTGGCCAAGCTAGAATTCTTAGTAAGGTAAGATTAATTGGGGAAATAAAAAGAAGTATTTTCTAAGAATTCCATGGTTTTGTGATACAAAACAGATTAGTTGGTATTAAAACCATTAGCCTGTTTTCCAAGTGCAGTTTTTACCCCCTTTTCTGCAAATGAAGGAGCAAGGATGTCATTAAAAGACCTGGTTGGTGTTTCAGAAATTTGTCAGCTCCTCTGAAAGCATTAGATGTCAGCTTTGCCCCAGGCAAAGGGAATGTGCAGAAGACTGGTCCAGAGTGCCAAGGAGTGAGCTCTAGTTTCTAACTTCCCTAATTAAATAATAAACTCCAGGAAAAAGCCTCTATTCTTTAGGGAAGACATATCTTTGGTTTATTCTTTATTTGAATTAAATCCTTCAAAAATGCTTGAAGCCCTTCTATGTACCAGAGCCTGTTACCATGGTGAATGTGACCAGCTCAGTACTCAAGGAGTTCTTAATAAACACATAGGAGGTAGCAGACCAGAACCTGAAGCCTCCTTTACTTGGATCCTCAGTTTCCTCATCTGTAAAACAACCTCAGAGGTTGGCAAGGGGATTGGTGAATGGAATAAAATTAACATAGCATAGTGCCTGGCACATGGTATGCTTTTTTCTGTAGATCAAATATGCAATTACCTCTAATACAGGTCTTTTTTCCTAATTACTATCATCTTCAGTCAGGAAATAATGCTGTATTGCATTGGTTAATATGGGGTTGTAGAAAGCATTTTTTTTTTAAGTGGGAAGAAAAAAGCTAAAAGTGTGTCATAGAAAATGATCTCGGTTACTAGAGCAGTACTGTGAGGCGTTCAGGTCCACGAAGCTTGTGAAAGAATTAAATCAGTTGATCACAGAAATGAAAATTAAGTGATGTTTTAAAAAGGACAATCACTGGAAGTTTGGTAAATAAGATGAGAATCCCAGTGTTTTGAGATGGTATGGCAATAGTGAAGTTAAACTAAGCCAGCTGTATACAGTCTTCTTCTGGCTTTCTTTCTGCTTCCCTTGGTTGGGTCTCCATCTCCAGTATTCTACATCTTTAGTTAGAGATTAAACAGCTTTGTAGGTGGTAATTGTGTTCTTTCATGGTGCATATGTATGAAAATTCCCCATAGGGGTGTTTCTGGCTGGCCCCTTGCCTTTTAGTCTGACCTTTGAAGAAAAGTGACTAGGGAGACCCCACAGGACATAGCTAAGCACATGGGCTTTTGAATTTGGCAGACTTGTGTTTGAATCTTGGCTGAGGGAAAGAATCCTTTCTCTCAAAGCCAAAATTGCCCCAGAGTGACCACACCTATCTCAAGAAACTGGTGGAGCAGGTGATTAGATATGCACACGGCCCGGCATGTGGTGGCCATTCACTCAAAGTCAGCCATTGTGAAAACTTCCAACTTCAGCTCGTCATTCTGGCTACCTTGTCTTTCCTGATAGTCTGTGTCCATTCCAGAATACCTTAGACATACCCAAGTATACCGTCATGATGACAAAGATTTTAGTAAATGCCAACAAAACTTGAAAGCAGATTGAGAATTACATATCGAATAGTGACAAGTTCATGGTATCTTCTACACTATTGAGCACTCACAGCTTAGGTGAAATCTTGTCCCACTGATGACTTCTTTCCTCTGAACTGATCCTGGCAGGAAATGGCAGGTAGTTTCTAACTTGATCTCAACCTCGGTAGCACTTCTGAGTGGACTGAAAGTAGGGGATGTCTGACTTCTCTTGGCTAGGCTCTGGACAGGCCAATTACCCAAGCCACTTGACCATTTTGCTTTCATTTCCTCTCCAAAGGGACTCACAGGGCTCAGTGAACATATATTGCCTTTAAGTCGTACAGCAATCTGTGGCAAAAAGCATCCTGCCCAGATCTACTCAGTAATTCTCCTTGTGGCTCTGGGGGATAGATTGTGTCACCACACTGCCTTCCCACAGCTGTGGGCAGCTCTTTTCCACTGCTCTCCCTGCACCTTGTGATTCTCTCTATATATCAGTCTGATGATGGGCTTGTGGCTTCTAGGTGAGAGGTGTGAAGGGCACTGTCCCAGGTCTCTGCTCCTTGCTTTGTGCTTAATGGAAAAAGTGAACTTTTTAACCAGAGGCTAAAAAAGTCCTTTTTTAAAAACAGCTTAGTCTTAAGGAAGAACTGCCAACTCGTTTCTATGATGAGTCATCTTTTCTTAATTTATAAGAGTGAAATCCTCAGGATGATAAAGTTTTATTTAATAGTGTTGCAAATTCCCTTTGTGTCCTTTTTCCTCTGCAGGCCTCAAATTCTCATTTGTTCTCTCCTAGCTTAATGTCTGCAGGAACACTGACCACTGTCATCCTGGGACCTCGAGTTAGTCAGAAGTGGGTCATTCTGAGGTATCAGGAGATGCCTTTACTGCATCATTTTGCCCGTAATGTCTCAGCCCTGCTCTCTCCTTGGGTTCTCAGGCAAAATGGCCCTTCTTTATAGCATGTGATCTGGGTATCCCAATCCATTCAGTTGTTGTCCCTAATGTAAATGAGGGCAGTGATGTAAATTTTAAATAAAAAGCATGTTTGGTGTCAGTCCAAGCAGCCATTAAAAACAAGATCAGGAATTGTAATGAGCCTCATTGGGAAAGTAAAATCCTTCCGACTGTCGAAAACACAAACCGTCACTAGTGTGTAAAGTGTAGCAGGGTGAATGAAAACAAAAACAAAGTACCTATTTTCACAGTAAATGATATTGAGGTCCATATTTACTCGAGTGACGAACATATGGCAGTCAATTCGGACTTCATTGATTGTAGGGGGAGGCAAGGCATGAGCCACAACCACGAGACCCATGATTTGGCTGGGGACAGTCCTCCCATGGGACAGCGACACTCTGAGGCGTAGCCGGCCTGTTATGTGAATCACCTGGAAGAGAGCATTAAGGAGAGGACACCAGTCAAATTTACATCCCAGATGTAATGGTTATTTCTTCTGAGAAATGCAAAATTACATCTGGAGCAACCAACAGTAGCTTGTATCTTGTGTAGTTGTAACTGCTGTAAGGGTGCTCTCAATGTCCTCATGGCAAGAGACAAAAGAGAAATAATCATAGTCTCTGAGAATTTCTCAAGGCGGCATTATTCTACAGTGCTGTTGCTTTTTTTTTCCCACTAGGACTTATTTTTTTTTTTTCCACATTTAGGGGACATCCACAATCAGATAAAATGGCCAGAAAGCTGAGTACTAAGCTGCAGAAGGGAACATTTGAATTATTAGTCCTTGATAATGGGAGATGTCTGTCTCCCAGCACAAACTCACCATCTCCTGGAAGTGTAGCTAAGAGCTTTCCTTCACTTGAGGGGTTGATAATGCAAAAGACCAAAGACTTCAGTGAATAACAGGCTCACATGAAGGGGTTCTTTAAGGACAGACATTTCACATTGGGCACCAAGTTACTAGGAAAACAGTGATTTACTGCAGTGCCTGTGGGGTTGATGGTCAGACTTTGGCCTATTCATTCCTTGAGCTCATACTAAAATAGGATCAGGAAGATGTGTGCCATTTTGGCTGCAGCTCAAGAGGTACTTGCCCAGAAACTAGAGTGAGAATATTGGGTTGGAATGTTTGGTGTCTTAGTCAAAGTATACCAAATACTGTCCAGGTGAAAACTATGACAGAGTTATGTGGCTATGTTTTTTTTTTTTTCTGATTTAGCAAATATTTATTAAATGCTACTAAGTACAAAGTATTATTGTAGGCACTGATGATGCAGGAGGAAAAGTTGCTGCTTTCCTAGAGCCTACTTTATGGTAGGAGAGAGAGAAAATAAACACAAATAAACACAGAACATTATTTCATCCAGTGATAAGTGTTATGAAGAAAAACAAAGCAGAGTGAGGGATGGGAGACTCAAGAGAGAGGCTTGATATAGGGTGTCAGGGACGGCTTGCCTGAGGAAGTAATGTTTAAACAATTTTCCCTCATTGGTTTGACAAATGTTTATTTTAAAATCAACATGTAGAACCCTATGTGTCAATATGTAGACATGTGTGTACTGTGTGTTGTAGAATAAAATAAGACCCCTGGTTTCTAAAAATTTATAATCTAACCAAGGAGCTGAAACAATGTAACATTACATGTTATAAGTAGAATGTGAAATGATGCAAGAGATGTGGCTATGTTTTGAGAGGATGGAAGTAGGGTGCATGTATCAGAGCTAGGGAGCAAGTGTGTGTGTGTATGCGAACTCTGTGTTCTGAGGACCCTGCTGCTCATGAGGGATCCTCCAAACTCAGGTTATAGAGGTCACTGCCGTGGTTCATTGTACCGTGGAGCTCAGTTTAACTGAGTTGCCACATTTGCTTTCTCTCCAAATGCATCATTGAGTGCCAAACCATCTATTGAGAGTCCACTTTTCCCTCTGTGCCATAAGGAACCAAAGTGGGAAGTAGGTTCCTCAGTGTGATCTGGCATCTGCTGCCTTCCCCAGGGGCTCAACTGGCAATTCCTTTTCCATTTTATTTTCACCTCTCTTAAGTTATTCTGTTTTCCAAAAGCAAGCTACACTCCTGTCAGTCAGGAAGCAGGATCAAAGCTTCCAGGGCTGCCCTTCAGAGTCTTCACTGTTCTAAATAATACCTCATCTCTGTCACCCTTCACATTTGTGCCCAGAGCTGCGGGTCTCGAAGCACCAATGAGGAGGATTATTTTGGTTATTTCAGCAGCAGCTTTGCGACCACCCACATTTGAAGTTGACTAAATTCATACTTAATGCACCTTTGCTTTAAGCTTTGGTCAGATGAGCTACTTTATGAATATTTGAAAATGTTCCTAGAGGCAAGGATGCTAAAACACCATCACAGACACACATTTTTGCAAGACCTCATTAACTAATAGAGAAATAGCTAAAAGAAATGGGATTAACTTCACAGGAGGGTGTTGCTGTGCCTGGTCCTCCTCCCAGCTAGGCTTACATAGCTGCTCATTTATCATGATCTGTCTTGTTTTATCAGGAAAACTCAGCTTCTTGGAAAAACACAGATCTATAAATGCAAAAACACACACCCAGAAATGATATGCTAAATAAATTCCCACTTGGTATTCTATTCCAAAGCAATTTAAAGGCGTATGGGCTGGAAAACATAAGGGGAAGGCAGATGTGGGGGGGAGCCATTGGTGTATCAGGTTTTTGGGGTCTCTGAGCTCCAACTTTGCCTATAGTCGTGGTGGTGTCAGATGGAGTCAAAGCAGGGCCCGCTGGGAGTCTAGCCTTGCAATTTTCTGACCTGTTACCCTGTGCTAGTCACCCAGCCTTGGTCTCAATTTCCTTTTCTGGGAAGTGGGGATATTAGTGACTATTCTGAACTTTTGTTATGAAAATCAAAGGATGTAATGGAGGCGAATGCTTTATAAGTGGTAAAGAATTCTCTAATTAAAAAAATTTTTAAATGTCCTTAAAAAATATCAACAGATAGGGATAAGGGTCAAAATTAATTTGGTGTGGGCCAAAGGTCTAGCAAAATCCTTTTTATTTTAAGGGATCATAACACTTTATATTTGAAAGAAAGTTTGGGAAGGTCTATGTTAGCCCCTTTCTCTTTCAGGTTTCAGGTTAGGATAGAAGCTCTGGAAAGTTCATTATCTGTCCAGTTGCCTAGCTTGGAAATGGCAACCAGCCTGGAGCCCAGGTTTCTGGGTCTTGTTTGAGTGTCATTTCAACTTTGTTATGCCTACATATATTTTATATGCATATTCATATTGAATGAAACATTAGAAATACATACCAGATACCAATTTATCACCTTAATTAAACTATATTAGGAATTTTCAAAAAGATTTCATTAAGAACCCAAATCTCAGGTTATTTGAAAGGTATTTTTTGGATTGAACCCAGGGCCTTGTGCTTGTGATGCAAGTGCTCTACCACTTGAGCTAAACCTCCAGCACTTTTGTTTTTGAGACAGGGCCTTGCTAACATTGCCTGGTCTAGTCTTGAACTCATGATCCTCCTGTTTCTGCCTCCCAAGTAGCTGGAATTACAGGCTTTTTAGCACCATGCCTAACTTGAAATGTTTGAAAAGTTTTTGAGAAATAGCACAAACTAAGAACAAAAAAAAAAAGAAAAAAGAAAGAGAAAATTACTAATGTGTTAACTAAACAATTGTCAAGAAATGTCAAAAATGAATAATCAAAGGATGTGTTTGTCTGCATGTATGTTTGGGGATAAGAGGGTGGGGTACTGAAGAGAGGAAAGGGAAATCTATTGGAACTCACAATTTTTAGGTTTAAGCTGATATATCTTTCCCAACTCATTTCATAATGCGAATAGAGCTTCCCCCATATAACGGGTTATGTTCAAATTTTAGAAAATATCTGACAGCATATATTCAAACATGTAGACAGTTGAATTTTTCATTGTATGGTTGATAAGGGCTTGAGAGGTATAGGAAAGACTACTGTCAAGAGGAGCTGGGTTCAGGACCAGGCACAGTAGTGGTTCATGCCTGTAATCCCCGTTACTCAGGCAATGGAGACAGGAGGATGGATGTTGGAGGCCAGACTGGGCAAAGTTAATATGAGACTTTTCTGAAAAACAAGCTAAAAGCTAAAGGGTTGGGGGTATGGCTCTATTGGTAGAATGATTGCTTAGCAAGTTCGAGGTGCTGAGTTCAATCCCTACTATAGCAAAAAAAAAAAAAAAAAGGATCTGCATTCAAATCCTAGATCTCGTTCTTAATAGCCATGTAACTATAATCCTCTAGGAACTGAAATGACTTGGTTAGTTTCCAGGTCAGTACATCTGAGATTGAAAACTTAGAACAAAAAGAATAAGGATAACTATCTCAGATTCTGTGAGAGATTGGCTAGAGGACTCTCCTCAGGCACCAAAATCTAGTCCTTTTTTTGTTTTTTTTAAGACAAGTAGCCCAAGTTGGCCTTGAACTTGAGATCCTCTTGCTTCTGCTTCCTAAGTGCTGGAATTACAGACATGTGCCAACACCCTGGGCCCCTGTTTTACTCCTTTATATAAAATAATGTAGTATTTGCATATAACCTACATACATTCTCCTGTATACTTTAAGTCATGGCTAGATTACTTCTACTACAATGTAAATGCTGTATAAATAGTTGTATTATTTTGAGGATAATGGCAAAAAAGATCTATACACATTTAGTACAAATGCAACTTTCTTTTCCCCAAGTATTTTCCATCTGTGGTCGTTGAATCCTTGGATGAGGAATGTGTGGATATGGAGGACTGACTGTCCTCTGCAAAGATACTCTTCATTTTCTTAGTAAGGTCAGTGAAAGGTATATGCTTGGTTCTTTAGTTTTTAAAACACACTGTGTGTAAGGGACCTTGCTGGGTACCAGGAACAGACCAAGGTGACTCACATACAAACTTGTCTTTAAAGAGTTTAGACTCTGTGGCAAGGCAAGACATACAATTCCTGTAATATGGTTATGAGAAGGAGATGGTACAGTGTCTCAGCAAGGAAGAGGTTCTCAGTCCTGGCCCATGTGACCATGGATCCCTATACAATCAGATTCTGATTGGTAGGATTGGGCTGTGATTTATTTATTTATTGGAGGTACTGGGGTTTGAACTCAGGACCTTGTATTGCCAGGCAGGCACTCTACCACTTGAGCCAGGCCTCCTACCTTGTATCTGTGTTTTAAAGTTTCTGTGATGCTAACTGTAAGAGAAATGTCTGGCAGAGTTTGGAGTCATACCAATGCTTTTTAACCTTGGGTATACATTGAGATTATTCAGAAACTGGTCTAAGAGTCCCCATGTGGATAGGAGCTGTGGTCAAGTAGTAGAGTACCTACCTGCCTTCTGAGCATGGAGGCCCTGAGTTCAAACCCCAGTACCAAAAGAAACAAGCAAACAAATAAATAAATAAACAAAACAAAAGTCCCAC